CCCCTTTCTTTTCCTGATCAGCTTGATTTTCATGAGTATTGACTTTCAGGAAGGACGGGGCACATCTGAACTGATCAGGAATGATTGCAAAGGGGGCAAATGAGGCTCAGGCAAGGAATTAATGATCCCAATGACTCCTGCCGTTAGGTGAAAGCTGAGCAGATCGTGTTGTCTTCTCAAACAATCTCAAATCTCACAAAAATGTTTTTTAATGGCACTAAGGAATGAGTCCCTGCAGTGTACAGGGGTACTCTTCCATCAGAAGAGGGGTGGCCAGCAGGGACAGGGAGGTCATTGTCCCTCTCTGCTCTGCTCTTGTGAGGCCCCACTTGCAGTGCTGTGTCCAGGTCTGGAGCCTCCAGTGCAAGAAAGACAGGGAGCTGTTGGAGAGGGTCCAGAGGAGCCACAAAGATGAACAGGGGGCTGCAGCACCTCCCCTATGGGGACAGGCTGAGGGAGCTGGGCTTGTTCAGCCTGGAGAAAAGAAGGCTGTGGGGTGACCTCATTGCAGCCTGCAGTACCTAAAGGGAGCCTACAAACAGGAGGGGAATCAACTCTTGGAAAGGGGAGATAACAGCAGGACAAGGGGAAATGGTTTGAAGTTGAGGGAGGGAAGATTGAGGTTGGATGTCAGGGGGAAGTTCTGTGCTGTGTGAGTGGTGAGGTGCTGGAACAGCTGCCCAGAGAGGCTGTGGATGCCCCGTCCATCCCTGCAGGTGTTGGAGGCCAGGTTGGATGGGGCCCTGGGCAGCCTGGGCAGGTATGAAATGTGGAGGTTGGTGGCCCTGTGTGTGGTAGGGGGTTGGAGCTTCGTGATCCTCGAGGTCCCTTCCAACCCTGGCCATTCTGTGATACAGCCTACAGCTGCCCCAGGAGCTGCCACGTTAGCAGGGCTTGGACGTGAGGACCTCAAACACCTCCCTTCCAACCCCACCAGTCTTTTGTGGGTTAGGTTTCATTTCTCCACAAAGGAAAAGCAGCTCCTTTTCTAACCACGAAGCCCCGCAGGGCTGCGTTTGCGGCTCCCTCTCGGTAAAGCCCTCGGCGGGAGGCCCGGCCCGCGGGCACACTTACATGACAAAGGCCGCTCCCTGCTCTAACCGCGCGGCCTTAAGCTGCAGAGCCGGGCGGTGCTGATGAGCTCTCCTGGGTAGCGGGGCCTCAGTGCGAGAGGAGCCGCGCAGGCCCTGCCGTGCGGGGGCGGCGCTGCGGGGTCTGGTTGCCGCTGCGGGGCGGCGCGGCGCTTCCCCGCCTTTTTTCTCCAACGGCACGCCGGGCCCCGCGCGGCGAATCTGCCGATCGCGCCCCGCGGGCCCCACGGCCGTTTGCGCCCCGGAGAAAATTCGGGCTCGGTGTCTGAAGCGGAGACGTGAAGATAAGTGAGCGGCAAGGCACGGGGGAGCGGCACCCGGAGCGGCGGAGCAGGCGGCGAATCTGCCGGCAGCGCTTCAACTCGCTCTGTGACTCAGAGCAGCTTGAGCATGCAGGGCGTCCTCACCCCCCTTCCCCGCGGGGAGAGTGGGCGGGGCCTTCCCGCCGTGATGGTTCGAACTGACCAATGAGTGGCGGCCGGCCTCCTCCCACAACCAATGAGCCAGGCGGGAGGTGGTGCCAGCGAGCTAGGCTGCACCGCCCCCCGCTCGCATCCTCTCAGCGGTGCGAACGCGACCATTTTGCGGGGGGGATCGGCGGAGCGGCGGTGCCGGGCCCACACACAGGAAGCGCGGAGCCTCCCGCGGGCGGGCGCGGGCCGGAGGCTGCGGCCCTGAGGGGGCTGAGCTGGGCGGAGAGGCGTCGGCCTGTAGGCTCCGGGCCCAGCGCTGCGGGGAGGGGACGGGCGGCACCGAGCGACCGTTGCGGGGTTTATTTTTTTTTCCTTTCCCTCCCCCTCGGCTACGGGAGGCTTCCAACGGGCCGGGCCCGAAGCGCCGGGGAAAATGTCCAGGCCTGTCAGGTGAGTCCTTGAGGGCGCCGAGGCCGCGTTCCCGCCTTTCCTCAAGGCCCGGAGCCTTGTGTAGGCCGTCGGTGTAGGCCCTGAGCGCGGGGCCGGGCCTGAGGCGGGCAGGCGGGGCGGGGAGGCCGGGCTGTGAGCTGTGCGAGGCGGAGGGGGCGGGGAGGCCGGGCGGGTTGCAGCGTGGGCCGCTGGTCGGTGTAACCCGTCCTTTACGGTGTAAAATCGCGTACAGAAATGTAATTACACACAGGGGTTGTGTAGGCCTCGCTCTGTGTGTGGAGGTTGGGGGGAGAAGAAGGGAGCGCCGTTCGCTGCCTGGAGCTGAGCGCAGCGCCTCAGGCACGGACCCGCGTGGGGCTGCGGAGCGCGGCGCCATTTCCGCACGGCGGAGCGCAGTGTGGGGCTGGGGGGGATGGGGGGGCCGTGCGGGGGAGCGGAGCAGAAACGCGCGTTGTTGGGGGGGGGGCGGAGCCGTACGGAGCCGTATGGAGCCGCCCCCGCGGGAACCGCGCTCTCAGAGCCCCGCCCGACCCGCGCTGCTCGGGTCGGGCCGTTCGGATGTGCTGGCGCTAGGCGAGGTTTGTGTGGGGTTTAGGAAGGTGAGGAGGTTGCTGGCCGTGTTTTTCTGTCGTGGTTGAAATCGTCGTTGTTGGTGAGGTGTTTGTTCGTGTGTTGTTTGCATGTTCTGTTCGTTTTTCTCAAGGTTGCACGGCAGTTATTACTTAAACTTTTTAGCTCGTGGGGGAAGATTGAGGTTGGATGTCAGGGGGAAGTTCAGTGCTGTGAGAGTGGTGAGGTGCTGGAACAGCTGCTCAGAGAGGCTGTGGATGCCCCGTCCATCCCTGGAGGTGTTGGAGGCCAGATTGGATGGGGCCCTGGGCAGCCTGGGGTGGTATGAAACGTGGAGGTTGGTGGCCCTGTGTGTGGTAGGGGGTTGGAGCTTCGTGATCCTCGAGGTCCCTTCCAACCGTGCCATTCTGTGATTCTATGAGCCTGATCTAGGATATTAAGGGTAATGGGAGGACAGTTGGGCTAGATGATCTTGTAGATCCTTTCCAACCTTGCAATTCTATGATTCTGTGACATGGGATAACCTCATAGGCTGGAAAGCACCTCTAAGATTATCAAGTCCAACTGTATTTTATTTTGGAATAATCAAGATGTGATTTATGGCAGTTCTAAGATTTATTTTGTATGGGGGGCTAGAGCTGGATCACCTTAAAGGTCCCTTCCAACCAAACCATTCAATGGTTTTGTAAATCCAGGCCATAAACTATACATGCAAACTTATAGGTGTTACCTTTTCTATTTCATGTCCCTAACATGTCAGAGTGTACCAAAAAAAAGATTGGGAATACAGCATGAAATCAGGATGTTTGTCACACTGATCCGTGGAACAGTTGTCACAGCTGGTTGGTTTGTCTGTTGGGTCAGCATCGTGTGGCTGCCTGCAAAAGGAAGGGGAGCAGAGCTCAGGAATGGCCTCAGGTCTGAGAGGTGGTGAGCAGAATGAACACCTTGCTCTGCTCTATCAGCTTCTGGCTTTTTGTGAGACAGGCTGTTGGGGTAAATGGACTCGTGGTCTGAATTTGACTGGCAGTGTTTGTGTCCTGGAATAGTGCTGATGTGACTGTGCTGCTCTGTGTGTGTTCTGCTGCTGATTTACTTGCCAGCACTGGAGTTTTGCTGCAGATTAGGAAAGAGTGTCTTTAACAACTCAGTTCTCAAGGCTTCTGGTATCTGGAACCTTTGTAAGAAACCTTTCATAAACCAGAACAAACAAACAAACAAACCAAAATCTATAAAATCATGCGGTGTTGCAAAAGACTCGACCTGTCTTGCAGTTGACAGGCACTGCTGTGCAGCAGAGCTCAGTGCCAAAGTCCAGCATGCTGTTAGGAGCTCAGCACCCTTTGGCACGTGCCAGCACAGGGTGTAGCAAGCTGCTGCCCAGCTGGGTTTGTAGCTCTCTCAGGGCTGAACTTGGCCAGTCTGTTGCAGTGCTGTGCTTGGGAGTAGGTGGAGAACTCTCACCATGGATTCAAATCCTAAACCTTTGGAGATTATAGCTTCTGGATGTCTTATTGTTGGTGATGTGGAATTCTGGTGAGAAGTTCCTCATCAGAATCGGATGTAGTGATGTTTTTTAATTCACTGGTGATGTTTGCTGGTTTTCTATGGAATGTATACATACCTCAAACGGTGAACTTTGTAAGACCCAGCAGATATCCCCAGTTTCTGCTTGTCAGTAGAAGGCTGCCTTAAAACTGACTCTGGTTGTTGAATTCAGTTCCTTGTAGTTGTTAAGTAGTAACAAAGCCCACGTGTTTACAGGTTTCATGCTTGTTAGTTCAGAGCCAAATCCTTTCTGTGCAATTAAATGACTCCCGGGTGGCTGATGATGGTATCTGCACTATTGTTAGAAGATGGCAAACAGTGAAAAGTAAAGGAAGCTACAATTAGTGAACCTTTCCCTCGTGTGGCTAATTAATGAAATCCTGCATCAGCTCCCACGTTCTGCTGCACAGTGGTCACTTTCACTTGCTGCTGCTTCATTCCTGCAGGCATTGCAAGATGGAAAGCTGTGGGCAAGCACTGAAATCCCAGTGTGGTTGGTTGATTTGCTTGGAGATTCAAGGCAGTTACAAATAGATCTCTGTCGGTGTCTCAAGGCTTTATGGCTTTGCATTCTTAGCTCTTCTTCATTAGCAACTTCTAGTCCTGTGTTGGCAACAGTGTTGCAGGAAGAAAAAAAAGCATTTATTAGATATCAGTTGTCTTGTTGCTAGTATTGCACCTGAACAGTGTGAAGTGGAAGGGATTCTGGATAACTTGCATGGGGAGCAGAAAATGCCTTGGGCAGTGGCAATTAATTGGAGTAATCTGTGTGGCAGTGTCCAGAGATGAGCAAGATAGCTTCTGGATAGGTAGAAAAACAAGTCAGTTGCTCTGAAGACTTGCGGTGTGGTGAGAAACAAGAAGCAAGGTAGCATTCCTGATAACTTGATTTTTACTCTGCAGCGTTTGTTGCAGAACAGGCTTCTGCTATCTTGTGTTTTTTTGTTTGCTTTTAGAATGTTTCTATATTGCATTATAGCATCTTCTCATTTATATCAAAAGGAGGGCGGGCACAAGGCTGATAAAACTGCTGCCTCATCAATCATTTCATTGTTTTGTTGGGTTTCAGGTTGTGTATCCCTAAAAATCCTACAGATGCCATCAGCTGTGCCCAGTCTTCCTGATGTTTGGAGTTGCATCAAGCCCAGACCCAAATAATGACTCCTTTAATTGGGACCCTCTGGTCAGTGAGCCTTGCCTCAGTACAGCTGTGCCCCTAAGAATATTTCCTACCCATCTCTCATGTCCCTGTAAGAAGGCACAGAAGTGGTGCTGTTGGTGACAGTATTTACTGCTGACACATTGCCATCCAAGCAGGGCAGCTCTGCCCACTGGAATGAGAACCTGCAGTTGAAACTGACCCTGCGTGTGCCAGGCATGGGGGTGAAGGCAGGGTGTGCCTCTTCACAGGAGCTTTGTTGGATGTTTGTTTAATTCCATGCCATAATTTAAAACAAAGCCATCAGCAACCGCTTCACCTCTCGTTCATTTTACTTCCCAAGTTGTATAAGAAAGTAGGCTGTTATTTCTGCTGATAATTGCTTGACCTAAACATTCCTCTTCCTTGCAAGATGAGGCAGCTATGAGCTTTCTGAAGACTCTTAGCTGTGCTTTCCAGTGGCAATGTATGTATTTTTTTAATCTTGGACTTTATCTGTAGTGCCTGTGGAAATACGGGAGGATTTAAACATTTCCTTAGAGAACCAGAAGTATTTTGACTCCTCGTTATTTTGTGTGCTGACAGGGCAACTCCAGAGTGCTGCTGTTGGAGGGCAGTGTTAGCTGGAGATGCGATGCTGTTACACAGCCTGTGTTCAGTCGTGTGGGTGTTCAGTGATCCTTTTAAATACTGATGTTGTTTTCCATCATGTTGGAACTGGATTCTGATATGCTTCAAGTACGAGTTGTCAGAACTCTGCTGTGCAGTTCTGAGTTCTCATGAAATCACTGGAGAGCTTTTAATGCCATGTGCCATTGTGCTTCTGGGTTGATCTTCATTCCAGAAATGCAGAACTGACAGCTGCCACGAGAAACTTCAGCTCTCAGGGCTTTCTCTGTGCCTTTCCTCCCCCAGCTCGCTCTCGTATGTACACTTTAATATTAAGCTGTAAGAGCAAAGAAGTTATCTTACAATTTCATGGTCTGTTTTAAACCAGATTGAACAACATCTGTCCCAGATGTCTTTTGGTCTGTCTTCTTATGCTCAGTCTGAGTTTAACAGTGTATTTTTTGTATGTTTGCTTGCAATTTGGTGGGTTTGGGTTGTTTGCTTTCTCATCTCCAATGAAGTTCCCTGACTTTATCACATCAGTGCAGTGGAAGATGCAGTCTTTGCAAACATGCAGTCACTGCTGGTGGTTCTGAAGAAAAATATGAGGATAAATGGGAGGTGAGTGAGTGTGGAGTGAGAGGAACAGCAAATGGGAGAGCAGTTGGTTTTGTTGCTGCTCGTGAGCTTCTTTTGGTTCTGCTGGGTCGTCTTTCAAGTTCAGGTAATATCAGTACAGATGCTCTTTTGTTCTTGTTTGCTTCTGCCATAGTGATTCTTTAATGATTCCAAATATCCCTAGTCCTGCAGGGCAGATAATAAGAAAATAGTAGAATGTACTTTCTGACTAAAAACACATCATGTGCAGTATGTAGAGAAAGGACATTGGCCATTTACATCCTTTTGGTTGTTTTGTTTTCTATTAAAGATGTGATTCAGTGTGGGCCTGAACTGAACTAAGCAAGGTGAGCTGTGTGTGACCAACTCACTGCAAGGTGGCAAGATTGCAATTTCCATCTTGCTTGTTAGTTAAGTGATGTTTGAAGCCCCTGTGTTACAAAGCTGCTAGAACTGAATATCCAGCAGCACTACCTCCTTTTCCCTGTTCATGCTTATTGAGAAAAGCATAATACCTCAAACTTAAAGCAAATCAAACAGCTCACTTGGCAACTTCATCGCTCTTCACATGTTACCAGAATAAACTTGGCTTCCCATGCGTGGGCAGGAGTCTCCATGAGGACGAGATGAACGCTGTGGTCCTTTTCAAGCAAGGCCATTCTGTGATCCTATGATCTGACCTCCTCTTGGACCAGGAGGTTGAGTTGTGTGGTGCAGACTTTGCTGGTTTAGTATTCCTGAGTGGGCATGGTGCTGTTAGGGCTGGCTGTGCTCTGCAGGCATTGCAGTTGTACTTTGTACTCACGTTTACCCCGAAGCTTGGATGGGATTCAACCTGTAGAAATCTGATGACTAGTCTTGCTTTCTTTTGTTGCCTGTGTTGGTTTGGTTTTTATTGTTGTTGGAGCTTTAAGAGGCTTTGTGTAGGCTTGAAATAAAGTAATTATGCTGCTTCCTCTGTTGGAAAGCTGCTGCTCTGCTATAGGTCACAAATAGAGGTACTTGGACAGGAGGAATGCTTAGAATGGGTGTCAGATTGACAACCAGAACGCAGTGCGGGGCAGTTTTATCAACCATGTGTGACACTGACCAAAATGCAGTTCAGTTCTGGGAAGTGAACGTGAAATCCAGCAGTCCTTGCAGCTCAGGAGAAGGGCAGGGTGAAGGCAGGGTGCTTCATATGCTGGAGGGATTTGTGTTGGGTCCTCAGGTCTGTGATGGAGGCATTGGTGGCCTCTGCTTCTGCAGTTGCCTAATTCTGTCTGTCCTGGGCTGTTGTGGTTGCTGTGTTAAGGACACTCAGTACTGCACGACTCGCAGCTGGTGAGAGAGCAGGGAAGGTGCTGATGAAGTAAGGATGGAATTGGTCCGTGCTCACGTGCTGCTCAGAAATGCAGGTGGGGTAAAATGCAGGCAGGGCCTTTGCTAATGTTCCGTTTGGGAACAGCTTTAACCGTTGTTAGGGATGTCATACATATTAATTAGAGCATCAGAGTAACTGATTGACAGGGCAGCCAAAAGGCAGCAGTGAGCTGCAGGTGTTAGAGAACACGTGGGAACAGGAGCAGCTCAAGGAGAAGGTATGAGAGCAAGCGTGGTTAAATTGAGCTGTGAGGAGCTGGAATCTGAAAAAGAGCAGCTTGGAAACAGGTAATTTGTGCTATTAGGAGCTTTGAGAAGATTTTAGTGCGCTTTCCCCAAAGCATTATTTAATCAATTGTGAGAGTTAATTGACGGAAATGAATGGTTCAAACCATTTCGAGAAGTATAATGTTAAGATTTTTCTTCAAGAGTAAAAAAAATGCAAATAATTAAGTGATTTTTTTTTTTTTTTTTTTTTTAGTTCACTTTCCATGTGACAAGGAGACATAAACCCTTTCCTTTTCAAGTCATTCTGAAAAGCATTCCAGTAACTTTGCTCAGATTTCATTGACTGCAGAAAACCCACAACTGTAGCACTGGAATAAAAAGCAGGGAGGCTTTGTGTGCAGTGTTGTGTTACAAGTGGTGTTTAATGCTGCCTCACCTGTGCACTGGCACCTGTTGAACACTTTGGTTTATTTCAGCAAGGCTCCCTTGCTACGAGGCACTTCTGATATCCAACAGATATTTAATAAGTTGTCAGCATTCCTTTACTTGCATTTGTTTTTTGTTCTTAATCCAGAATCTGAAACATCACAGCTTTGAAACAGAGTTAGTGGGAGCTCTGCCTTTAGAAACCTCAGATCGATGCGTTCTTCAAATGCATCTTTAATCTTTGGATGTGGACTCTGCCTTTAAACGGTGCTTTTCCAACTGTGGCTGTAATGATGTGTGTAGATTGACTAATGAAGGAGCTGCAGCACACGGCGTTTGGTGGCTTCTTGTCACAGCACTGTGAGCCATCAGGGAGCACAGCTTATCAAAAAGCACCTTGGAATTCTGAGGCTAGAATTCAGCCTTAGGAAAATGCTCAGACCTGTCATGTTTTCTGCTGGGACCACCAAGCCCTAGGTGGCTTATTTGTGCAGGACCTCTCGGGATGTTTGTTGGTCTACAAACCCTGTGCTGGGAATAAAAGCGTGGCACTTTCTTGTCACTTAAATAAAGCTTTTGTGTCTCTCAGATTGTTGAACTGCTGACTTACTTATTTTCCCCCCCCTCCTTTCTAACAGGAACAGGAAGGTGGTCGATTACTCCCAGTTTCAGGAATCAGATGATGCTGGTAAATGACTTTGTTCTTAACAATATCATATCCTTGGGTTACAGGGGTTCATTTAAGGCTTTGCATATTAATTACGTTGCTTCCAGTCACATCTTTAACCTAAATTCTGGGGAGTTTCTAGTCTGCAGCCTCTGAACTGTTAATGAGCATTTGAAAATATAATGGTTCTCATATGTTTTGTATTAAACAAACAATGGTGATAGAAATCTTGTTATTTAATGCTTGTATTGTTGTAGTGCCTTCAGGCTGTTGGCAGCAACCATCTTCCCTGCTCTGTTATGTTCTGTGGCAAAAAAAAACCAACAACCCTGGTGCTGCTTTTTTTTTTCCCTATAGTTAAATGTGTTTTCAATTTATTTTAGTGGGATTCAGTTAATCCCATCATGTTGGGCATAGTTGTGAATTGCACCTAAAAAAAAAAAAATAAATAAAGAATCTTAGCATATTCTGTCAGAATTAATGAAATATTTCTGGCTGCCATATGGAATGTGTTTTGTGTTCTTAGAAAATAGATGCACTGCTACTGTTTCCTAAGGGTGGTTACACTGGTAATTATTGGAAACAAATATGCCCTGCTGTATTGTGTAAGGTATTGTGTAATGCCCTGTTTCCATCATAGGGCAGTAAATAAAGTTGTTGCTGTTAAAAGCATACGAATATATGAATGGATGTTAACCTCTAATAGGTTTCCGTGATGGTTTGTGTTCCTAATGAGCTGTGAAGTTAAGATGCCCCTTTTTCTTCTGAAGCATTTTGTGTGTTTCCCAACACTTCTGTTTCAGATTTGGTTGTGTGCAGTGCTGTTATGGTGCTGTTGGCAGAAGAAAAGGTAAATCAGCAGCTGAAGGCAGGACTTCACTTCTGTAAAGCTTTCTTTGTAACTTTGGGGTTTTATCTTCTTTAAGAGCTACTTTTTATATGCTTGAAATGGTCAGTTTCAGCTGGCTGAGGAGGTCGTTTTGCTGGGAAGGAGGAGTTTGATTCAAAACCATTTTGTCCCATCTAGATGAAGATTATGGGAGAGATTCAGGTCCCCCATCCAAGAAAATCCGCTCATCTCCCCGCGAGGCTAAAAATAAGAGGAGATCCGGGAAGAATTCTCAGGAAGACAGGTAAAAGAAGCACTTCATCTGTTAAGAACGTGTCTCCAAACCTTGTCCTGTGTGTGGGGAGCTGTATCTTCTGAGAGCAATGATTGTAAGTGGAATTCAAAACGTGCAGTGTGGGACACAGAGCTCTCAATCACAAAGCTTTCCTAACCAGCTTGGACATTGAGGTGGTTCTTTTTTATTGAAGTTGGCAGGGAAATCATGTGTAAAGTACTTGTCACTAGCACTTTGGCATTAAAATAGCCTTCCAGAGCTATCCAGTTGGAATGGCAAGGAACTTGATACGAGTTGCAAAGATTGGCAGCTGGTGCAATTATCTCCAGGTAAGTTGGTGGCTGGGTGCCTTTCATTCTCTGTGTTTTTTTGGTGTGCTCAGAGCATTTATGTGGTTGAAGATTAAATAGGGCAGGTACAGTGACTGCAGTGGTAGGGGCCACTTGTCAGTTTTGCAGCTCTTTGTTATTTTTTCACTTCCTATTTTGTCTAATTCAGAAACTGAGTAACTTGTTCTGGTAACTGAATTGCTGTGGCAATGTGAAATGTCTGCATTCTGAATGATTCCCTGCTAACAGTGGAAGTCCTTCCTGTAGAGTGAGGGTATCTTGCATTGACAATAGCTGTGATCAGCAAATGGTTGCTGTGAGAAACGTGATGAAAAGAGACCTATTAAATGAATTGACTGCTTTCAGGGACGGAGATTCTGCCAGCTGGTTATCTCTTAACTGTCTTGCATTGTTTGGTGGAATATAGCTAACTTACCACAAGGTATGCTTCAGATGTTTCTCTCCATCTCTCTCTCCCTTCATGTTCCTGTGCTATAAGGTGGAAGCTGAATGTAGGCATGAGGGAACATTTTTACTTACTGTTATAAACTGAGAGGGTGAGGCCATTTTCACCATGGCTTTTAATTTTCCCAAAGATGTGAACTTTATGTTTTCATGTCTTGAAATGGTTTCAGGAAAGAAAAGCCAAGCAATCATTTCCTGCTGTTGCTCTTGAATTGTGTTGCACTGTTTTGACACAAACGATGGGTAAACATTTAATGCAGAAGTGATGTTATTCAAATACTTCAGGTATCTAACTACATTAATTGTGGCCCAGTGTAGTTCATCTGTTGCTTGGCAGGTTGCTGCAGTTTGCTTAGACCAGCGTGTTTGTTCTGCTCATGCAATGCTTAAAGAAATTCTCGAGGTCAAACTTCTAGATAACACCTGAAATAAAGATTTGAGGTAGATAAGATGTTATATAAAGAAACTGGGCTAGGGAGCTCCCAGAGCAACTAAATAGTGTTGACCACAGTGTCCTATTAACTAAAGTGATATTTAAGTATGTAAGAACACTCCTGTTTGTGTTACAAGCATTGCACAGAGTCTGGATGTGAAACAAATGCACGTATTGCTTTCAAATCCACAGTTGTCCATCAGGCTGAAATCAAATGGGCCTGAGGGACTGCAGGGTAACATGTTATCTGAACTGTGGAAATTCTTGGGCAATGCTGTGTTAGCTCCTACTGCCAAACCTGGACAGCCAAGGTGACAAGTGGTAGGGATTTGGGTGCAGAAGCAGCAGTACCTACTTGATGGGACAGGCTCTAATGAGGACTGAAACCACTGTAAGGGGAGGGGAAAGTCTGTCAGAGATCAGATTGGGAGCCTGCAGACCAAATGTGTTGTAGTTAACTGGTGAGACAGAGTGAAAGAAAACAATGAGAAAAGAGAAGGGACTTCATTATGCATATAGTCAGGATAAAACTATATTCCTTTTAATAGATTTGACCTTGTATTAGCACATATAACTTCAAAATCCTAACTGTAAGATGGAAGACATCTGGATTATTAGTAGTCTCTGAAGAAAAATGCATGGTTACCTTACCCTTATATCCTGGTTGGTTTCCTTGGCACTACATGGTACAGAGCTTGAACTTTCTTTCCAACCATAACTTCATGTGCTTCTGAGTAATGCTAAAGTATAATGTAATGTTCAGGAAAAGTGGGTATTCTTGGCCTAGAAATCAATCTGCTCTCTGAAAATTGTTATTTTCCATATAGCAAATGAGTGAAATAGGAGTTAAGCAATCTTTCCCTCCTTTTCAGTGAGGATTCAGAGGAAAAAGATGTGAAGACTAAGAAAGATGATTCGCACTCAGCAGGTAACTAACCATGCTGCACTGATAATTACCTTCCAAATAAAGGCCAATCTGTAAGAATGTTCCAGGAGTGAGATCTGTCACACAGGAGAAGTTCTTCTGTTTAGAGAAGCATGCACTTTCCTGACACGTTTATCTTAAGCTGGATGCTGCCTCTGCTGCTTGTTACTTCCAGCCCTGGTTGGGGGCAGCAGATTTTGTGTAATGTGATGCTGCTGTAGATTGTCCTCACAGGTAGAGAGGTGGATGCTCGTCTCCTCCCTCGGATTCTCCTCTGTTCCACGATCACAGAGGAAGCTTAATATTCTCACTTTTTCCTTCCAGATGAAGATTTTGGCAGTGAAGATGATGACTTAGGAGCAGATGATGGCAAAGCTGACAGTGACTATGAGAGCTCTCAAAAAAGCAAAAAAGGAAAGAAGGCCAAACCAGATAAGAATAAGAGAGCCTCTAAATCCAGGAAAAGGCCTGCAGGTAAAGAAACAATTGCAATAATAATTCTAATTTTCTTGTTCAGCAAGTATGAAAATTGATGTATTTGTTCCTGTATTGCATTGCAGTAGTTCTGTGCTGTGTATGCACTTACTCCTTACACTGTTCTATAAAGTGGACTTTTGTCTGTCCACTCACTGGCTGATGAAGATGTGCTGGCCAGTATTTTCTGTCTTCATTGTAACACGATGACTTTGTGCTGCAGAGGACAGTGAGGATGAGAAAGAAGACCACAAAAACGTGCGTCAGCAGAGACAGGCAGCATCCAAAGCAGCTTCCAAACAACGAGAGATGCTTATGGATGATGTGGGTAGTGAGGAGGAAGAACAAGAGGACGATGAGGCACAGTTCCAAGAGAGTGAGTAGATGGGATTGTACTGACAGTCATAAAAAGTTTAAGCCCTGGTCATATGGGCAGCAGCACCAGATGTAGGCTGATGGGTCTGGCTGAACAGAAGAAGGAGCAGTTTCCTTTTTGACTTGACAATAAAGATGTAAGTTATTCTTTTTGGTGCTTACTCGTTAATGAGTACCTGTCTGTCAGACTGTCAATTTTTGACATTTAAAAATTTTGTTCTAAGTTTGCAGGAATTCTGGAATTCTTTATAAGCAGCACTTGAGGAGCACTGAAATTTTCTTAATGTTTCTTGCTGCTTCTTGTTACCTCCATCAGTTTTGAGGCATTGCTGCTACTTTTCAGCTGATGGGAAAAATACTTTATCCTTGATTGATCAAAGTTAGGGCAGTTAGTTTCACGAGGGGAGATGAATTCAACCAGTGATGAACCACAGTAAGTTTTTTGAAATAGTGGATGCAGATGTGATTTCAGAAGGGAGTAAGGTTATCATCACAAATGCATTTTTTAATGGATTCCTTAGGATGGATCATATTTAGAGGTTCTGAAAAAGGCCCCCTGTTCTGTCATATTTTATCCCTACTACTGTGAAATCTTCTGCCACGTTTCCCTAGGACAGCAGGCAGCTGGAAGCTCATAAGGTCACAGCATCTTTAGTTTTCTGACTTCTCTGTTTAACTTGGTGGGTGGTTTTTTTGCTTCTTTTCCTTGTCTTCAAGAATTTAATTTTGTTGTTGTTTCAAAAGATTCAGGAAGCGATGAGGATTTTCTCATGGAAGATGATGATGATAGTGACTATGGCAGTTCAAAAAAGAAAAATAAAAAGGCCTCCAAGAAGTCCAAGCCCGAGAGGAAAGAAAAGAAGATGCCAAAGCCCAGGCTAAAGGCTACAGGTGAGTCTGTGCAGAACTGTGCAATTCAATTTAGAGACTAGTACTTTGTTTTTTAGTACTTATTTATTGAAGACTGAACAGAAGGTTTGGGGCCAGTAGGCATTACTTTATTATGCTGAAGGGCTGTTTCTTGTAAGCAGTCACTTATCATGATTTAAAGTAACACAGTGAAATGATGATGTCTTGAATTCTTACTTAATAAAGAGATTGAATTAGTATTTATGTATTGCTGACAAAACCTGTGTTGATTGTGAACATCTGCTGGTATGTTGCAGTCTGACATTCTGCATCTCATGTCCAATTAATGTAATTTGTGGCTTTGTTTGGGATTCTTGGTCATTAAGGGTGGAGGAGCTGGCAGTCCTCATTCAGTTCAACTTCAGTACTGTGGAATGAATGTAACGCCATGGTCAGAGCAGAGTGAGACCTGCTACTGCAGTGTCTTTAAATCCTGTGTGTACAAAGGCTTGTCACTTTCTTGTTTTGGTAGCTGATAATAACTTGTGGAAGCTTTTTCTTTTTCCAGTGACTCCCAGTCCAGTGAAAGGCAAAGGGAAGGCAGGCCGCCCCACAGCTTCCAAGACAACAAAAGAAAAGACCCCATCCCCCAAAGAAGAGGATGAAGAGCCTGAAAGTCCTCCAGAAAAGAAAAAATCAGCCAGCCCTCCGCCAGAGAAGTCAGGGGATGAGGGATCTGAAGAGGAAGCACCCTCTGGTGAAGATTAAATGGCAGTTGAGGATATCTTTGTTTAAAAAAGAAAAAAAAAAAGAAAAAAAAAAAAAAAAGAGAGAGAAAAAAGGAAAAAGAAAACATACTTAGGGGTAGAACACGGTTTTGGCTGTGGCTTGACTCATGGGCTTTGAATGCTGTCTTTACTTTCAGCTGTTTAATACAGTGTATCCTTTTTTTAATAAGAGGAAACCCTCATACAGTAATATTTTGAAGTCACTGTTCTGTGTTGGCCATTCCGTTCTCCCTCCCCCTCCAAATCCAAAAGCCATTTGAGACAAATTAACAGACCATTTGAATATATATATTTTTTTTCCAAGGGATACTGCAGTTGTGAAGCAATAAGGTTTGGGACTGATAAATGGAAACCACACTTACAAATCACTGAGTAGAATAGATTTCCCAGTGCTGGTAAGAGTTGTTCAAAACTATAATTCTGTGTTTGAATACACGGTTAAAAAAAACAAACCATCAAACCAACCCTGCTTTAATAGACTTATCTCAATAGAAGTTCCTTCTCTCAGAAAAAGAAAAATATATATAAACTGCAGAAACACGGGGAGGAAGCCTGTGTTTCTTGGATTCATGCAACTTTTTAATGGAAAGCAATCAAGAGACTTATAGGGGGTCCACTGTCTTTTATCTGGAAACATCCTCCAGTTAGGATGCAAGATCTTTCATCTTTCCTGGATAGAATACTCTTCTGCTTAGGCAGATCTCGGTTCATTCTATGCTATTTCAGACACACAACCTAGAAGCTGCTCACATCCACTGATTCTGTTTGACTTCTTCCAAGGTCGGCTATAGATGGGCAGAATAGGGAAGAGAGATTTGAAGAGTTCTAAAGCTCTGCTTTCCAGTTGACGTTGTGGACACTTTCTTTAAAGTTCCAGGGGAAAAATGGTGGACATTCTAGAAGTAGATTTTTTTTTGTGTGTCTTTTGGGGTGAGGGATGTCCTTTTATAAATGTGAAGCAAAGGATTCCTGTAATGCTCTGGTCAGTCTCGGATCCCATGAGTCACGCTTAAGTGCTTCTCTTCTCTCCCTCCATCTGTCCTCAGAAGGCTGTGTAATCATGTCTAAGCCTCTCCAGCTACAGTGTTGGACAGCAGACTTCCATCAATAGTGAACATCACCCCAGTACCACTTCCATTTCTTCATCCTCCCTACTGCAGCATGGGAGGATTTATTCGCTCTGCTCCCACGCTGACATGTCTGCCTCTGTTGGTCATCATTCTGTTCCCTAAGCCTAGGAAGCATGGAGTAGGGAACAGTGTTAAAGGATGAAGCTGAGAGGAAATGAAGTTTGAAAACAGTGTAGCAGGGCTATGGTTCTATAACAAAAGCAGGATGTCCCTCTAAAGGAGATACTTGAGATGTGTGTAGTGGCATTTTAATGTGTTTTTATCAAAGCAGCCATATCCTTTTTTTTTTTTTTTTAAACTTAATTGAAGTACACAAGCCTTGGTTTTCAAACCCTGATGCAGAGATTGCTGCCATGTTTGTTGGTGGAAATATTAAAAACTGGATCTGCCTTTTTCTTTCTTTTATTTTCCTTAGACCCTTTGTGCTTTTGTACGTTGCTCACAGTTACCTTACAGCTGACAAGCTTTGCATCTCCTTTTCTTTTTGTCACTGAAGTACATATTTTGTAACCAGCCTCTTGAAGGTAACATAAGGCAGCTAACTAGTCGGATTTCTGGTGCACATGCTACCAGATTTTTAATCCTGTTTGGACTTCAGAGAGCTTTTAGATGTGATACACTAATATGACCAGAAAGGACACTTGGCTGAATGGCAGAGGGAGCCCGAAGATTCTGAGCACAGTGTGGAGCCTAAACCACAGAATGGAACATTAATTTAACGGCCAAGTGCTTGTCTTGTGTGATTCACAGCCATGGGTTTTATTGAGGCTGGTAAATTACTTTACCTTGGCTTAAAATTTGAAGTTCTCTAACGTTCTTTACTATAATGAAACTACTGTTGCCGTTACAATAAAGATGATCAGTGTTTCCATTGTAAATCTTTTTTTTTTTTTACCTGGTTTAGTTTTGCAGAGCAGCTTAAGGCTGGAGTCAAGTATCAGTCTTTGAAAAGAAGTGAACGTGCTCCCCTTTCCTCCTCACCAACTTTTCCCATCTTCTGGGAGGACAGAGCCTCTTGCATCCCCTGCCCTCCTAGCTCAGCATTTCTTGGGTAACACAGGAAAATAAACGGCCAAACTTCAAATGATGCTTGGACTGATATTTTGGGGGTATTGTATACTTTCCTTAGTGTCTGGCCCACGTAGTTTTTCCCCCTTCAGACAAGACTGTGTTTCAAGTTATTCTAATCTCTTTAGGGTCTTGATTTATTTTTTGGTATTAAAGCATACAAGGATCACATAAATGTAGAATCCTTCTAGTTGATCTAATCACACAGCTATTTCTTTACCTGCTAGACCAGATTTATTTCTTAAGAGTGTATTTTGTAAGTTCCACTTAAATATTTGTGTTGTTCTTTTTTAGTTTTCCTAACACGGTTAAGTTAAGTGAAAGATGCATTTCCGTTGCTTTCAGTTCAGGTTTTGGACTGCAGGTTATTTTATGCCTGGTGATTTTGGCCCTTTCTCTTGTAAAGCTGTTCTGTTTTCTCGTATGCTCATCTCTCATGGCTGTCACAGGCTGCATGATGCTATCTTTGAGTTTGTGTCACAACCCAAACACTATGTAAATCCTGTGCTACTACTGGGATTTTGTAACATTTCCTATAGCCTTACTGTCATGCTGGTTTGTGCAGACACTACGCCCCAATGGTCTCTTGGTCACCTGTTAGAAATACCACAGTTTACATTTTTACAGATTGAAGAAAATGGTGAAGGTTAATACGTAACTTTTCTTTCTAGGACGCGCTTTTCAATAGCAGCAGAGTTAAGTTTTAAAATGTCCTCCTAAATTAATTTGTGTTTTAAGCATTCTGGAAGGAAAAGCTGTTTAAAAAAAAAAAAAAAGCCTTTCTCTAGAGCCATGAATAGTCCTCCAAGGAGCAGAAAGCTTCATTCACAGAAGAAAGCTTTGAAAAGATTGTCTTCTGTTAAACAGCTGTAGTTGTGGAGCGTTTGCAGAGAGGTAAACAGGTTTATTCCAAAGTTCAGTCAATCTGGTGCCCTGCCCTGCTCTCACACTTAAAGGTTTGTTATTAATTTCTATTCTGCATCCCTCTGTACATTGTTTTACATTTGTATGCAAAGAATGCTGTCTTTAACCGGCCACCAGGCTTGATCAGTAAAGATTTGCAATTGCGGTTGGAATTTCATCCTAAAGATTACTTGTTCCAGTTTGTATTTGATCAGCAAGAGAGCACCAGACGTGTCAAGTTAGATGAGTTTCAGAATGGCTTGTGGGTGAGAGCACTTAGAAATATGGCAGCCAAGAAACTTGTAGTTCTGTTGTGTTAACTTCAGCAAAGCAAAGGAGTGCATGGGGAGGGAAAAGCAGAGCACACCTTACCTGAAAGCCACTGATGGCTCTGAACGTGCTCAGCTCCTGTGCCACCACACAGCTGCATCTGCAGGTGATGAACTACCAGGGCAGCGGCAGAAAATGCACTTGAATTTCTTTTTCTTTTTTTTTTGTTCTTTTTTTTTTTTCCCCCTCCGCTGTTGATGGTCACAAAGGTACAATAGACACTGAGGCGCCCAGGTTAAGGAGGGAGGGAAGCAAACTGTAACATGCTGGAAGCTTTTGAGCTGTAGAAACTGGTGCTTTGCTTTATGTAATTTGTTTGTGAAGTGTTTATTTTTATAACAGATCATATTGTTGAACACATGGTTCTTGAAAACCACAAACTGATCCATGAGTTTAAGTATTTGAGAAGTGGAAATTCATCTGTTGGGGGAGGCAGGATATGAAAAATGCAAGCAGATAGCTGTGTAAAGGGACACTGTCACAAGATGGTTGCTGGCATATAGGATGCATTAAGTTTGGGGGGGTGGGTGGGGTCCCATCTATATGTGGAAATTCTATATTCTATATGTATATGATCAAATAGAGAATTTTCCCTGAGCTTTGACTATTTTCCTATAGTTTGGGGAGGTTTAAATACAAATGATGTGCGTGGAACTGGGCGACGAAGCTGTTGTGATCAAAATGCTGAGGAATAGGAGAGCTCCGAAAGGTGGCAGTGTCCTTTGGAGTCCCCAGATTGAGCATATCCTCATCTTAGACTTCCCATGTCAGTGGCAGACTGGCATCTGAATGTCTTTTCATTGAACTCTTTGTATGAAAAACAAAACAAAAGCGTTTCTAAGTCAAGTTCTCACTTACGTGCTGACTCTGCATCAACCACTATGGGAAACAACTGCCTGCCCCCTCCAGCTGCAGTGAGTCGAATGGGTCCATCGGTCTGAGCATGCTCAGTGTGACTGCAAAACACCGTTGTGCATATGCTTTGTATATTGGGGCAAGGGTTTTTTATATATATATTTTGGGAGGGGTAGCGGGTGGGATGGAGAAATACTCAACTGAAGCCAGAATAATGTGTGTAAAAGCCCCTGAAGTATTTGGTGTGTGAGTGCGCGAGTGTGAGTGCGCGCATGGGAGCGTCTGACATCTTTTCTTCCCTTTGTGTTCTGAAGATTTGTGAGTTTTACCTTCTTTTTTTTTGTTTTTCCTGCAGAAGCAATTGTTAACAAAAAAACAAAACACTTGTAAATAAGAGCTACGTGACTTTCTTTTGTTTAACCATGAACATCATGTCACAGCAAACCCTGAATAATGGCTCTGAAGGTAGAGAAGGAAGAGACTCCAGGTAGGGCCTTGGGCCTTTGGCTTTCAGCGAAGCATCGTTGTATGGTATGCAACAAATACTTGTTCCGAGTATTTGCAGTCCCATGTTGAGCTTTTCTAAAAATCAGGCTCTTTGCAGTTAACCCTCCTTATCCCTTTTAATATATATATATTTTTTTTTAATGTCAAGAGTGGCCAGAAAAAAGGGGCAGCTGCCCCACGGTTGGGGTGTGCGCAGACGTGGCTCCCATCGCTGGGCCCGATAGGGTTGGCAACTTTTGCAATACCTTGACAATACTGAGCTCTACAGCATGGTACTAGGAGTTCTGTTTGAATGTAACGTTAATGCTTTATTTAAAATAAAAACAACACTTTTTTTTTCTTTTTTTCTTTTTTTTTTTTTTTTTTAAAAAGGGGTTGAAGTGAACATGACTGTTGACCATGTTCGTGAATTTATAGGTGCAACATTCATTGGTAGAATTGTGTGATGGTCTTTCGTGCTACTTAATTTGACATATTCCAGTCTCTGTATGTACCTGCAAAGAAAGAAAAGTTAAAAAAGTAACAAAACCCTGCTTTGCTTTTATTGAAGGGTTCCCAGGACTGCATACCTGCTCCTGAGCTCTGTTTTAAATGTGTATCCTTCGCTTGTATTTTGTATTAAAAAAAAAAACCACGAGGAAAAAGAACCCTTTATTGTTCAGCATGTTGGAATTGTGTCCCCTCTTTTATTTTTTCTCCTTTTTGGAATATATTAAGCAACTCATTCTTCTGTATCTTTTATTTTCTTTTGTAAACTTTTTGGTTTTGTTTAAAAATGGCTTTATAAAAGGGCTTTTATAACCCATAAACACGACTTGTGTAATTCTTCTGTATCCAAGGGTCTCGCTGTTCTGCGGTTGCTTTCTGCTCTGTCAGTGCCAGTGAGATGTGTGTTCCTCTTTCCTGATGTCTCACAGATTGTTTTGGGATTTGTTCCTTTGCAGACCCCGTGCTTCTCTCTGAGGAGGCTGAGTCAGGTTTTGGCCAGAACAGTTTGGCAAGTATCCTTCCCTGTTACTACCTACAAGTTGAGAAGATGTAAGGAATTAAGTCATCTTGGCAGCAAAGAAAATGGAGGCCGTCAAGTTCAAAACCCAGTGAAGCCCAATTACAAGGAGACAAAGCCCTTTATTTGTCATCCTTGCTTCTACGAGCTTTCCCTCAGCGATTAATAGCCTTTCTATTTTGCCACGTGTGTCCCAGCAGTGAGAGTAAATATACAGTCAGTTCATTATCTGGGGGTGTCAGATGGCAGCTGCATTCATCCCGGATGCACCCTTGGCTTAGTTCGATAGAGGGCTGTCAGTTCACGTGCAGATAAATTGACCCACGGTGCAGATTGCATGCTCAGTGCATCATCACATGCACCTGGGTTATCCTTCTTAGCCAGCACTTTCAAAAGATGGCTTATAGCAGTTCCTAGTCTAAATTCCAGAGAAACTTTGCTTTTAATTAGCAGCGGGTTTAAAAGCACTTCTAAATTCTTGGTGGTCCCTGGGGGTGGATCAGCTCCCTTCGCTCTCCGGCTCTGCCACTGGGAGCTCAGGCCAGCAGCAGAGGGCGTGCATGGACCTCTGCAGTGCACCCGAGGATGCTTTGAGCGTGCTTCTCTTCCTCCTCTGTGCAGGATGAGATGGAAAACGCTTTGGTGTTTGTTATAAGCAGAGCTAAGTGTCAGCTAACAGTGCCTTGCCATCGAAAGTTCTACGTCTTGCTATTCTGTCTGCATTTTGCTTGTGTACCTTTTAAAGACTGAAGTTACGGTTCATCAGTATAAACGTAAAGCATTCGTTCCTAATTCCTTTTAGGATCCCAGAATCGTCATAAGGGACCCAGTTTTTCTAAGGGTGTGTTATGGCAGAACACGTAAGCTTGTGATCTTAGAGCACGTGTAATGTCAGTGCATCTTGTAGGTACTCGATTCAGCAGCACGCTCGGCCATAAAGGGTGCTGTGGTGGCTCATCCATTTGGTGAGGGATGCAATTGCACAGGGAACCAGATTGCTGCTTCCATCAGCTGCAGCAAACGATGCTTACTGTGTTTGTTTTCAGAGGTTGTTAGGGAAACTTTGTGAGCTACCCTCTCTGTTGCTCAACTCTTGCAAGCTTACTGCCAGATATAAGCTGGTGCTTGGCTGCAGTCTCTGTTTTTGTACCTGACCTGGTTATTTTCCTCCATAGTGTGATAAAATGAGATTCTGTATCAATGGAGTGTTGTAATAATGCAGCTCATGGCGTTCCTCCCTTTTCTTTTTAAACATACTGGGCACTTAACCTCACTGCTGTGGTATCTGCAGTTGTACGCTGCATTTGTGTCACGGATGTTTTTATCTGGAGCAGATACAGCATTACCCCCAGGTACTACTGCACTGCTTCAGCTTCTGATTAATTAGCAGTGATGGAATTAAGAGGTGTGGCACCTATTTTGCCCCAGAAATAACTGCTTAGTATGAAATGGTGCAACACCAGGGGCTGTGAGCTCTCCTTAAAGAGCTGCTCTTCCCCACTGCCCCTGGTCTTTGTGTGTACGATTAGGAGCTTAAGCCCCTTTGTTCCTCAGTATTGATCTTTTGAACCTGGTATATTTACTGACTGCTCAGCCAGCACAAGTTAAAAGTCCCCATTGGCTCTGAAGTGGTATTTACAGGGAATTAATACGGAACCAAATGCTTATTTGTCACTTTTAAAGGGTGTGCAACTGAGATGTAGGCATGTAGGGTTTTGTAACTGCAGCAAGCATGGCCAACCGGGGGGATAAGATTCCCTTGGCAAAGAATAGTAGCTGTGAAGTCTTAATCTGAGAGTTTTGCCTTAGGAATTATACTGTTTGTGTTTCTTTAGGATGGAAATAAAGTCAAAAGGTGGAGTTCAAGATATTTATTCTGCTCTTCTATTCTTGCATATTGTGGCCCCATAGGTGGCCTTGAAAGTGCATAAATGAGATCAAGTTGATGTGAAGAGCTGCCATTTTTGTTCTTACTAATCCTGTGCATCAGAAGAAACCTGGAAGAACAGTGGAGATGGAGAGATTCCTGTATGTTAAGGAACACGTTTTAGGTATGGTTTTAATACAGCAAGCCACAAAAAGAATCATTCCTCATTCTTGCACCGGTGTTTGGGGGCTGTGCCCCCATGCAGCATGGTAAACGAAGTATAAGAAGATAGCTGCCCCACAGGAGCTGAGGTTATTTGTGCAGCAAAGGCCCTGGGGCTGCAGGGTGAGAATAACATGGAGCTCTGGTGAGGCAGCCTGCTGTGTTTGTGATGCATTGATTGAAAAGCACAAACGCCTGTGACGTGTGATACGTTAGACTTGAGTTTGATCTGGAAGTGTGGCTTGTTAGCTCAGTAATAACCACATCCTGGGCTAACACACATCTCCAGCCTCAGAGTTTTATGTAGACCAGGAAATGGTTTTTGTGTGTTTTGGGTTAACTCTTTCCATAGATACAGGTCAAGTTCAAGCACTGTTACCCAGCTGCGGGCAGGCAGCACAGTGTACTCTCCCATTGTGACAGAGACCCACGAGGGCCTTCATTTAAGTGAGTACCAAATTAAAGCCTCCAGGTCAAACCACCCCTTGGCCTTAATGTGTGGTTGCAGTTTGGTCTCCGGGCTGCCTGCTTTTTAGATAGGCAGCCAATGGAAATAATCTTGCACAAAGCCAAAGGTGAATTTCTCATTCTCTCCCCTCGTATTTAATTTACCCCTCGTATTTAATTTACCCCTTGTATTTAATTTACCCTTCAGAATGATGATCTGTTTTATATTCAAGGCTTTGCTTGCAAACGCGGTAGCTTAAGGAAGGGCTGGTATTTTATTTGAATAATCTCTTTTCTTTCAGGTTAAATAACATTTGTGTTTTAAGTAGATAAGATAACAGTTCCAGCAGCAATAAATTTCCTGTAGTCGCGCTATCTTTTTTCCCTAAGCATTTCTAACTAAGCAGTTGGCCTTGTTAGGAGCTTTTGTTCAGCATCATCAATTAGTGGCTTTCCTTAACAGCGGTGTCTGTTAGCTTTGTTCATTACAAACATTTTCCCTTTCAAACATTTCTGATAAATTGGGATGTTTTATGGCTGAGAACTTCAGTCCATTTTTTTCTCGAGGTGACATCAGCGCTGATGTTTTCCCCAGCTTTTCTGCTGAATGTTTTGTGAGGAGGATATCGCTGTCACTTCTAAAACATGCAGTTTTTACTTCCTGAGAAATGAATGAAGGGAAGGAATAGTTGGAGCACACTCCTGTTTATTACATTGAACCATCACTTTTCTCCCTTGCACTCACACCACGCTGCTGATCGTGACGGTGCGTTTGAATTCATTCCTACCAGGCCTTGCCTTCAGAGATGGTTTGGGTTCTTTCACTCTCATTCACATCCAACTAAACTGGTTTTGTACCCTTAAATGTGTGATACCACTTAATGGCTTTTAAACTCCTTTCTCATGTTGGCCATTTCTTGAGCAAGGGTACCAAAAGGAGAGACAAAGCATCTTGGGTGCAAGCCCTCATTCTGGCTCTTGCATCTCTGTCTCCCCACAGCACAGTAGCTTTTGAGTGTAGAAGACCAAATTGCATATATTTTTTTAATCTTTCTGTGACTTATTACATGTTATTTTCCCAAGGTCATTAGATTCAAACACGAATATTAACATAAATAGAGCACTTTGATGAAGAGGGCTATTATGTCAGTGCTAGAAGTCATTAGACTGTCTCCAATCTAAGGGAGCTTGTTGGATTTTGGTTTCTTTCTTTCTTTCCAGAAATATGCCTCAGTTTGGTCTTTGCCAGGTCTTTGCTGAATGGATGCACTGAGTGTTGGTGAGGACAGACTGCATCTCCTGTAAGAGAGGCCAGGCTCTTTCAGAGGCTCTGTCAAGGGGACCCAAAGACAGTTTAGGAAGGGGAAAAGCCCTGCCCAATGGAAGCTCCCTCCCTCTTAGCGTTGATTCCATAGGTTTAACCTTAGCTGAACCCATAGGCAGATGCCCCAAAGTGGTGCTCTTTATTCTATTATTTCTCTGTTCACCATTGCATCTCTTTCACAGCTGCTCCATGCTGGAACAAACCATAGCCAGTTTGTGTTAGAAAATAAAGTGTGTGCCACCTGATGAAAAGGTACTTTTTCCAATGCAAAGTTCTTAATATATAGTTAACGGCATCCGTCAAGCTGCTACGTGGTGAAGTGGTTTGGCTCATGAAAGAGCCATGTGGGAAGATACAAATCACCTTAGTCTGTTTTACTTTACAAGTACTTTCAGATAGTGATTCAAGTTAGTGCATGAGGGTGTGAGAGCTTGCATTATCACAGCACTGCTCCTTAAGGATGCCTGGTGGAACTGCCATGGGACCATGGGGAGTCTGGCTCCTTGGGCTCTCTGCAGTCCCATCACAGAAGCTCGATGCTGGAGCGCTCTGCAGCTTGCTGAGTTAAATGCTCTCAGTGCCACTTGCTCTCCTCTCTGAAACCCTTTCTCTGCCATCCTCCTCAAGTAGTCTGATCTTAGAGCTGAGCTCAGGCTGTGGATCTTACAGAGTCACCTCCTTTGGAAACTGCACCCACATGACTGTTCTTTCGTTTTCTCTGCAGTAATCTGCTGGCTCCTCCGTGACCTTTCTTCATGAGAAAAACCTGTATACTTCAAAGGTCTCTCAGGACAGTGAAACTACTTTGGTTCTGTCAAACATGGGTGCAGAAAGATTTCTCTCATGCAAAATTACTGACTGTTATCTCTTTCTCTTTTCAAACAGGTCTTTTCAAGTAAGATTCTTTCAACTATAATCTCTTCTGCGTGTTCAGTCAGTTGAGTGCAAACCTGACGAGGAAGAGACTCGCTCTCTGATCTGATGGTAGAACACGGTATCATTAAAATTAAAAATAATAATTATTTAAGAAAATCAAAGTCTGTGGATGCTTGAAGGCATAGCTGACACCAAAACAAATAACAAAGCTTTAGACATAAACCCAGTCTGGCAGCCTTGGCAGATCAGCTGTTGACATAACAGCATCTTAACAACAAAAAGCAAAGAAAACAACGGCAACAAAAATCCTTCTCCTCACTTTGCAACATTTCAGAAAGCTCTTATTTTTTGTCTCCAGGCTTTTCTTTGGCATAACCTGGACCCAGAGCAAGGAGGGAGTAGGAAACGCCATCCAGAGCTGTGTCTGCACTAGGGGGCTGTGCTTGCATGGCGATAAGAGGATTAGAAGTTTAGAGAAAGCTTTGTCCTCCTGTGGTAAGCCCTGATAACAAACTTTGACTCAGTTAGCTGCTGCTTACAGCACATTCCTCATTGGAACATATCTGCAATTGACCTTGACATGGAAAAAATAAACCCAGTGGAAACAAATTGGTGATGATCTCCGTCTAACTGGAGAGCAAACTTCTGATGTGAGCACTGCAGCACTGTGCTTTTGGTAGCCCTGAGTCTCTGTAGATGGCTGGAGTGTTTCAGGACATTCCTTCATTCTGAGAAGTGGCCGTGGCCAACCAGCTAGAGGCTGCTGAGCTGCCCTGCGGTGCAAGAGGTATTCTGGCAGGCAGCCCTGTGTTAATTTTGATGGCAAAGCTGTCTGATCTTTTCCAGCTCTGACTTTTAGGTTCTAGCAAAGTAAAAAGCTGCCCTACACAAAGGTGACTCCACGCCAGGAGAAAGGGTTCTGTGCTCCTTAGAGGGAATTAAGGGAGGTAACTGATCATTCTCTGTAGCTGATCCCATTCTGACAGTTCTCGTTACATCAAATTTGAGCACTCACTCTACCATATGGAAAAAGGGGGGGTTCTGTCTAGGACACTGCTGGGGTGGGTCTCCAGTGGTGCTTGTGTCTTGACCTCAGGCAGTGCTTCCATTCTTCCTTTGTTAAACGAGCGATTTGTTGGATTCCAGGGACCCCTCGGTAACTCTCCTGGGCTGGGAGAGAATGGTCAGTAAAATCTCCCAGGTTTCATCACAGAACAATTCTTAACATTCACGTTGCTCATCCCTAGGATTGAAGTTTGTCACATCAGTATCACAGCAGCAGTGAAAGAGCTGCTATCTTGGCAGGTGCTGGAACACCTTCCTGGCTCATAATGCTGAGGATAGCACTCAGCTCTTCATAGAGAAATGTGAGAGAAAATTGGTTGTTAGAGCACGTAAAGGGAGAAAGGAGCAGACGAGTGAAAGCCCACAAAGCTGGATTGATTGTAAATAAATCACAGGTATCTTCACCCTGCTCTATCATTTTGAGATTTGAACAGAAAAATCTTATTCTTTTAATGATCCCTTTTTTTTTTAATTGAATGAAATGGAATCGATCCTATGGGATTGCTTTCAGCATCTCTGCAGATGAGTGTGTGGCAGTGTTCTTCATCTCTGATATCTCAGGTCCTCTATGGCAGAATTCTGCATCCAGCAAAGCTGCTCTTACCTTCTGGCAGTGCTTTGGGAAGGAGCAGAGCTGGGCTGGCTTTCTTCTGCAGTCGCTTCCTGTCCATACAGCACGAGTATCTGGGAGTAAACACGCTGGGAAATATTTGTGCTGTGTCCTATAAACAGGGTGCATGTTGTTTACCTGAAGCAAAAAAATCCGTCCATTAATTGTGTCATAAAATAGCCAAGAAAATGAAAGTTTTAATCTTAGCAAAATAGTGCTGCGAATGCTCCTCGGTGAGCATGGCTGCAATTGCTGGGATCTCCTGCTGGAGGAAGGAATTCTCAGTGTTGGAGTCCTGATTTTTTTTTTTCAGGGAACTGGAACTTTACATTTCCACTTGCAAACGAGTGGCATTTCATTAATGAGGAGGCCCCCAGCTGGAACTGACAGCCAAGAGCATGTTTTTTCCATCTTGTTGCCCTGTTTCAAGGGAGACTTTTATTGGTAAGCACTGCTCAGCTGAGGTCCTCTGCCCGGTGCAGCCCTGGGCCCCATCCCACTGCTCCCTGCCCGCTGCCATGCAGTCCCCAGCAGAGCTGGTGGCTGAAGCTGTCCTGGGAAATCGAATGGATGGCTCATGGGGTGCATCATTTGCAAGTGGCTGAGCAAGTGTGGTGCGGGGAATGGCCGAGGCTGAATGGGAGCTGACAGTTTCCTTGGCACCCGAAACAGAAATAAATCCTTTCCTTTGTCTCTAGCTTAGCAGAATGGAGCGGGACAAGGCAGAGAGGGCAGTTTTAAGTTTCAGGTACCAAATATGCAGGGTGGGAAGGAGCTAAATCCTCTTTCTCTAACAAGATTTGAATCGAGTTAGGCTAACCCGTGAGGAAGGCCCTAAAATCTTATTCTGGGAGCTGAAAATTGTAAACTGACACCAGAAGCCACTGCTTTTCCCTGTGGGGATGTGACCAGGCTGCAGCAAAATAAAATATACCCCCTTTGGTTAAACGTGGGAAGAAAGTGGGCAGGATGTGGGAAGCTGCTTGAATAATCTAGTGAGGAGAACTTGAGCTATCTCAGAGGCATGCTTCCTAACCTGGCTGAAGAGCCTGACTGGGAAATTCTTCCCTGCCTCATTTGTAGGGTGAGGAGTGGTGGAGGAGAAGGGGCAGCAACGTGCTGTGTGGTGTCTGTGATGTCCTATAGGCTGTACAGTGAGATGATGCTCAGCTTCCCCTTTGTGAGGTTGTTTGGATTCGTGCTGCTGTTGTGGCTGGCTGTTTCTCCCTGTAGCAAGGATGTGCCTCCCTGCCAGTGCCCTCCTAGCAGGGAAAGGGGCAACCACAGCTTGCCTGGTGGAGGGCAGGCAGCTCCACGCTGCAGCTCCATCTTGAAAATCAGCAAAGGCAACTGAGCGCGTGATGCTGCGTTCAGCAGAGGAGCTTGGCTGGAGGAGGCAGAGGTTAAGAATGCAGCCCAGGGAACAGCAGGGGGAACGCTAAAATGTTTGTCCTATGCTCTGTAAATACAGCAGATATGCCTGCATTTCAAACCCAGTTTAGCAACACTCGTGTAAGTACAGTTTCACAGACAGCTTTCTTTCTGCGTCGCCTGCAGGAACTGTAACACTGATGTTGAGTGGCAAATGGTGGGAGCAGTTGTAGTATCAGTAAGGATTTTGACAAGGGACAGAGTCTTTGCTTCGCTGCAAAGGCCTTGGAATCCAGCAAGGGGTAGCAGTGACTCCTTCTCTGCACCAAAGAGTTGTTTTCTAACCAAATTCGTTTAACTTTGCATTGTCTGCAAAAAAAAACAACCAAACACCTTAAGCACCAAAAGCATGAGATTATTTAAGTCTCGAGAATCTTAATTAAGAAATAGCAATTAAAGACTTGCCTGACCTACAGCTGGCCTTACTGGCTGCTCACTGTGGATGTCCCTGCAGTGGTTAGGAGCAGCATCCCTGCTGGTTGCAGTGCTCTCCCCGTTGGGCCTCGGGAGGGAATTGAAGCACTCATTTTTTGACACCCTGTGTTCTGAAGGTTCTCCCCCAGTGGCTTCTCCCAGAATGCTCAGAACAAAAGTGCGTTTCCTGTTTAGAAAGAGAGAGAAGATAAGCCCTCAAGTGCAGCCTTGTGCTCTGGCTACCCCAAGTATAAACAGCCTGCACGGCCGGGCGCTGCTTTTGTTTGTTCTAGCAGCTTTCTCTCCTTAAAGGTACATTAGGCACAATTATACAAAGTCCATTTTCTGACAGCATCGTTCCTGACTGGCACGAGAGCTCCGGGACCATCAGCTCATCAGGAAATCTCTCTGCCTGGAGCACGCAGTGAATTCCCAGCTTTGTGCTCAAGGCACAGCACTGAGCACTTCCAAAATATGTTACTTGTTAGCATTTCTGTAATATTTCTCCACCGTAGCATCGGAGTGCTCTGTAAATAGTCACTGCTAACCTCCCTGGGTGGGGTGCTGGGGATGGGTTTGTTTTCTTGGCTTACGGAGAGCGAAAGGTTTGCGTTGTGAGTCAGCATTCAAGCTCAGTAATTAAACACGAGATGGCTTTAAGGCTACCTTTGGCCAACCCGGGGCTGTTGTGGCTTCCAGGGTAATGCAGAGCATCCATGGAATCCCTCTGTGCAGCAGGGTGAAGGTCTGAGGAAGAGACCTGCAGCCAAATGGCCTGAGCTGTCACAGCACAGCAGTAAAGCTGGGGCCCTGTCCTGCTCACCAGCTACTTGTGTTCTGTGCCGCATGTGGTGGTGTCTAATCCTTGTCAGGTTGTAGCAGATACCACAAACTGAGCTCTGCTGGGCTGGACGCATGAGATTTAGATAAGGCTGGGGCAAATCTGTGCTGCCATCTAATCAGGCGTGAGCAGCTGAGATGTGAGTTGATGCTGTTGATTTCCCTCCTTTGATAAATTAATCTGATTTGCAGATTCCCATGATGGCTCCATCCTGCATTGTTCTGAACCTCTTCGCTCTGCTTCAGCAATGCAATCTGGTCCAGTTACAAGCTCAGGACTGGATCTACTGCAACAAGCAGCACGAATGGTGCTAAGCTCTTACTGCTGTGCTCAGGCCTGATGTTTCAGAACCCTCTGGTTACATGCTGGATGCATTTAGGAGCACGTAGGAAGTGTCCAGTCTTCTCATGCCTCACTCTGTTCTGCTGGGAGCTGGGATTGTGTCTGTAAAGCTATAGTAAAAGGAAGAAGGACCCAAGCAGGGAGGAGTGGGAACTCAGCACAGTGCCATGGGCATTCTTTCTCTTGAGTGGTGTTTATGAAGAAGGCCCTGTAGGCAAGCATCACTGTTTTGGAAATTGGGGCATCCCATAGGTGTGTGAGCAGGAGATGCATTGCACAGCGCTGCCCTGGCAGCCTCCTCTGCTCTGCTGGGAACATTGGAGCCCACTCTGTGCTCACAGCTGTGTGGGTGCTGCCACTGCTGTGCTGCTACCTGACTGACTTGTGTGTCAGCATGTGAACGTTGGTGCCACTTTATTAAAGGAAATGAGAGTCTGTGACAACCCATGGGAGGAGCAGAGCCTCCCCGTAGCAGCAGCACCTGCCATCCCAACCTGCAGGTGTTTCTGCTTGAGCCGGGGTCCCATACTGGAGGCAGAGCTGGCAGAGGGGAATAAGAAACCCCACTTTGTGCTGCTGGTGTGAGCAGAGCCTTGCAGCACTGAGCCCCAGCCCTGTGCTCAGGAATCCTCTGGGTCAGAGCCGCGTGCTCTGCTGCAAAGGAAGAGCATAAAAAGAGCAGTGCTCCTAGATATTGAATTGCCTGTGAGCAGGGGCAGCTCTCCCCACCCAAATGCGCGCTCTGGCACTTTACCAGCTGAAGTCATAGCTAGCTCTTCAGGGCTTTCTGTTATTTTCCTTCCAGTGAGTTTCTGGCTGCATCTAAAAGCGCCGAAAAACTTATTGCAGGAAACAGGGCTGTCATTTCTCCTTGTGTGCTGTGAGCGAGTCCTCATCGGTTCAAGTGACAACACGTGCAGGTGCCTCTCTGCTTTTTCCACGACGGGTGAGTCCTTTCAGCAAGCAGGGAGGGAACAGCTGCTGGGTGAAAACAAGGCCTTCCTGCTGACCCAAGCTGAAATGTGACGGGGAAATGGGATTTCTGACCTTGAGAGGTACAGAGTTGCCCAAAGGAGGGACCCTGCGAAGATTAAAAATAACTCCGTCTCCGTAACGCTTCTGCAGCTGGGCCAAAGCATTGCAAAACACACGGCCTGCTATTAAATAGTACAAATTGACAACAGCCTTTTGATGAGCGATGGGCCGAAGTGCTCGCCCTCCCCTTTGTGAGCACAGACCGAAGAACAGCTGCTTTTGTCAGCCGTGCTCTTGTTTTTCCTCTCCCCTGTCCCTGCGTTGCTGCAGATGTTTGAGGGTGGCTGCTGTGCTCATCGTGTGGGTCGGTGTTCGTTTCTTCTCGGCTCCCATTTCTGTTTGGCTGTTGTGAGAGCAATTAGACATTACTCAGAGAGGGCCAGACAGTGTGTGGGTCCATGGTCAGTCTGTCTGTCTGTCTTCCCCCCACTCTCGCACACATGCCGTGTGATTGGAAGCAGTCATGTACCATGAATAATGTCCAGGGGCCAGGTCACAAGCTTCCCATAGCATGGAATTCATTTGCATACAATCCGAGCAATTACAAGTAATGAATAGATTAGGAAAACTAAACAAAACGAGAAACGATTCAGGCTGCTGCTAATTCCTCAGCAGAAAGGAGGAAAGAAAAAGGAGGAATAAAAAAAAAAAGAAGAAGAAGAGAGCGGGGAGGGGAAGAGAAGGGAAGGCTCTTAAAATCTCGGCTGCTCGATGACCCGAGGGTGCCGGGACCGGGAGGGAGAGGGGCGGACGACAGACAGACAGAGACAGACCGACCCCCCCCCCCAACGGCCCCGCTCCGCCCGTAGCAGCGCACGCTCCCGCCCCCACCTGCACATTTAAACGGCGGCGAAGGCGCTGGGGCTGCACCGGGAGCGGGCTGAGGTAGGAGCGGGGATGGGGATGGGGATGGGGATGGGGATGGGGATGGGGATGGGGA